TCTCGTTTTCTTCCATTCTTCTCACCCTCATCAACTCCAACTTACCTTTCACCCTCCTTATAATACTCATGGCTTCTCTTGCGATATTTGCCGTAAGATCGGCACAAACCACTGGCTATATCGATGCGCTCCCTGCGGCTTCGACGCTCATCTCGACTGTGCCACCGCCACAAATATAACCCCAGCTCGGACACAGGTGACCCAGGTTTTAAACATGAAACCTCTAACTTCGATATCATATTAAATAATTTAAACTGATAGCAAAGAGTATAATTAATTATTTATATTCTAACGGAGTCAACGCTCGACGTGCAGAGGCCTGGAGGGATGATTTATTACGGCCATAGCCAGAGTACGGGAAGCATAAACTCAACTCAGCAGATGGGTGTTGCTAATGGACCTGGAAATGATTTGGCGAACGTTGCGGTTCAAGGATTTGTAGAAGGAGCAGCTCAGCAGGTTGGTCAGAGTTTTGTGCAGAATCTAATGGGTGATGGAAATGGCGGGGGAAACGTCGGGGATAATAACTGTAATGGTGATGCTTCTGGTACTGTACCGTCTGTGTCTGTGATCAGCGTCGGGTCTTCGATTTTAAGCGGCGTGTTTGGTGACTCGGAAAACCAAAATTAGGAGGCTGTTTGGGGAGAGAGAAAATGTAAAGGGGGCTTTATGACGTCCAGAGAAGATGTTGTTGAATAAATTATTTATTAACTACATTGTTTTTCTTCATCTGAATTACTTGCAATGTTTTGGTAATTTAAAAGTGCATAAAAAATGTAATTGTCAAAGTGAATTAGTCAGATTAAGAAAAATTAAAGATATAATGCACCTCAAATTTGAAATATTATTTTTAGAAACTTATATATAATGCTTTTTATATATTTTTCGGAGAACATATAATTGTTTACCTAAGAAATTCTTATATAATGCTGAGATATAAATCAAAATTTGCACTAATTTTACCTAGATTTTAACAGAAGATCGAACAACTAAAGAACGAAAGATGATTTTCACATAAACATCGAAGTTAATTTTAATTTAAAATTGTTATATAATATATCATGAATATCTTCATTATTAGTTGGAGAAAAACTTTTACTCCCCACTCACAGTATAAATATTAGCAAAATATAATTTTATTTCTTTTAATTGATAAATTAAGTTATTAAATTGAGAAATAAGTTGAATTAGAAGATTTGAAATGATCGCCAAAATGGGCCAACCCGAACCCATTTATTTTTCTTACGAGCCTGGACCCCGGTTCGGGTTGGGCTTAAGTTCTCCTTGGGTGGCTTTCCGGCCCAAAATCCGGTTCGTGGTATTACCTTTTGCCGAACCAAGTGGACCGGACTTTCCTTGGTTTGACATATCTACATGGAATCGTTTCATTATTTTTTGGGCACAATAATATAAATCTTATCATTATAAAAAAAAAAAAAGTTATTTTCTCAAAAAATTTATTTACATGTTATACCAAAAGCTTATTATGATATATAAATGTTACTATTTTAATAGAATTAAATACATAAAATGAAAGGAATATTATATTTATTCTATATTATTTTAGACTACGACTAATGTTTACATTATAATTAGTAAAATTTTTATTTTTAACTTATTTGTAATAATTTAATTCTAATTATATATTATCAAATCATATTAAAATGATAATCTTATTTAGTGGATTAATTTATTATAAATAATTTAAAATTTTTATTGTGCTATTTTTTTTATATAAACGATATAAAATTAAAAATATTTTAAATGAAAATCTAAAAGATATATTTTTAAATATTTTAGTAAGATCATATCAACACCTATTATAACTTAATTTTTATTGAAAAAATTACAAAATGAATGATGTGTGGGTAGAGAAATAAGTAATCAAGAGTTTATATAATACATAATTAAAGAAATTATAATTAACTAAAAATTATTTTTATTTAAATTAAATATATAATTATTATAAACATATCACTTTAATTATATTTTTATATTTACAAATTAAAATAGATAATTATATCTATTATTAATTTTATTAAAAAGTTAAATAGATATAACTATTATATATATATATTTGTAATAAAATAAAAATTAAATTGAAATTTTATATTTAAAAACTTAAAAAGATAATTATTTATGAATATCAAAACTTTAATAATTTTATATTTAAATAATTATTATATATTATTATTTTAATTTTATTTTTATATTTAAATTTATCTTAAAATTTTAAGAAATAAATAATTAACATGTGATGTTTTAGATATATAGATATGGTTATGATTTTGGTTTTGTAAATGTAGAGTAATTAATTATTTTTCAATAAATTGTTTCTTTAATGGGTACTAAATTTTATTAGGAGAAACATCTTTAAATGGAAAACATTTTTAATTAAATCTTAAAAGTTGAAGGAAAAACAAAAAAAAAAAAAAGGATTTTAATTTTTAAACAAGGAAATAATTTGATGGGAAAATCTTACAAAAAGCCAATTGTAGAGAATTACGCCCTCCCAAAAAGGTATCAACTTTGACTTTCTACCTTCCCTCCTTGTAGATAGATTGTATAAAGTAGAAAGGCCAGAGACAGAGAAAGCAAAAAGGTTAGTTTTGTCATTTATAGGATACATGCAAATTTGCCAAACGCCGGAGACAAGAAAGAAACTCCGGCGAACAGGCGTGCCGGTGCCGGCGAGAAACTCGTCGTAACCGAAGTTTCTGTTTTCTCTGTTGTGTACACCTGGCTGTGAGTTGTTATGGTGTAGAAAAATTAGAGAAGGAAGGTCTTAATTTAGAGAGAGAAGAAACAAAGGGTTCGCCCTCCAATATGGTGAGTCTGAAACAGAGAGAATTTAAAAGGCCCATCTCTCTCTCTCTCTCTCATAGCGTCAAATGCTTTAAAACCCATCAGTTACATACTTTTCTTTCACGTACGATTAGACAGATAGAGAGAGAAAGTGTGTGTGTTCATACTCAATCAATGCACAGTATTTGTTAGTAGTAGCCGATCGAGTAGTAGTGGCTTTAGTGGAGAGGGTGGGGAGGGTGGCCGCTCCTCTCTCTCTTCTCTCTCTCTCTCTCTCTCTCTTTCATACTGACTTAATTACTGCCTGATTTTTCAATATCATTTGGTGCCTGAACTCACTCGCCAAAATCATGCGAATATCTTTGAATTTTCGGCCGTTTCTCTTCCAATGAAACATGCTTATTTGTCATTCAAAGCCAATGCCTTTTTTCTCACAACCCACTTTCAGAAATCTTTTTTTCTTCTTCTTCCAGTAGAGTTACTCATTTTTTCTGGGTCTTCATCCTTGCATACGGTTCTCGTCTTCTTTCTCTTTTTTTCTTTTCGTTTTAGGTTACTTTCTGTCTTGTTTGTGGTACCAGTAGCGACGGTAATGGAAGCAGAGAGACGAATGCACTCATTTTAGGTACTCTAAGAAGATTATATCATTTCATGGAGTACGGAAGTGGAGGAGGGAGTGGGTCAGGCGGAGACCATGACGCTTCAGACCCCCAGAGGAGGAAGAAACGATACCATCGTCACACCGCTCACCAGATTCAGAAACTTGAATCGTAAGTCTTCTTATTCTTATTACAATTCAGGAACTTACTTTTTTTTTTTTTTTGTCTTTTATACGCTTGTTTTATGGGAGAGTTTTGTTTTGCCTTTTGGCTTCTGATGACGATTGATATTTGATTGGTTTGGCTTCTTTTCTTTCATTCTTATATTTTTAATACAAAAATTTAATGTTGTTCGTGCGATTTCTGCTGTCGCTTTGTTTGGATTATTATTTTGAATGAAGAACGTTCAAGGACTGTCCACACCCAGATGAAAAGCAGAGATTACAGTTGAGTAGAGAGTTGGGTTTAGCACCTCGGCAAATCAAGTTCTGGTTCCAAAACAGGAGAACCCAGATGAAGGTTCTTTCCTATGTCTTCTGTCTGGTTCTGATTAATATTATTTTTCTCTTTGTTTTGTGTTGAGTCATCGTAGTATATTGCGCTTTGTTGTAATGATCGACCTTAACAAAACAAGGATTCTTCTTCTTGATAATGTTAAAAAATGATGATTCTCTCTCAGGCCCAACACGAAAGAGCCGATAACTGTGCTCTCCGGGCTGAGAACGACAAGATCCGATGCGAGAATATAGCAATCAGAGAGGCACTAAAGAATGTCATATGCCCGTCTTGTGGCGGGCCTCCTGTCACTGAAGATTCCTATTTCGACGAACATAAACTGCGAATGGAGAATGCCCAGTTGAGAGAAGAGGTAATTGACAAGTTTATACAATTTAATATCATACTTTTGTATAATGGGTAGTATTGTTTGATGAAGTTTATGTGATTTGCAGCTTGATAGAGTGTCTTCCATTGCTGCAAAATACATAGGGAGACCCATAACTCAACTCCCACCAGTACAGCCTCTTCACATGTCCTCACTGGATTTGTCCATTGCCACTCTTAATAGCCAAGGGTTTAACGGTCCTTCCCTTGATCTTGATCTGCTTCCATGCAGCTCTTCGACTGATCAGCCAAACTTACCGTTCCAGCATTTGGTTATTTCCGACATGGACAAGTCTTTAATGGCTGATATTGCAGCCAATGCCATGGAGGAATTACTTAGGCTTCTGCAAACTAATGAACCCTTGTGGGTTAAGTCGAGTCATGATGGCAGAGATGTTTTAGATCTCGAAAGTTACCACAGGATGTTTCCAAGAGCTAATGCTCACTTGAAGAACCCTAATGTTCGAATTGAAGCATCAAGAGATTCCGGTGTTGTTATCATGAATGCTTTGGCACTAGTTGACATGTTTATGGACTGTGTATGTGTCTTCTTTAACACCCTTTTGTTTATGATGCAAATGGGAAAAAGGGTTCCTTTAAAAATCTTTAAGTTTTGCAGAACAAATGGGTAGAGCTTTTCCCCACCATGGTTTCCATGGCAAAAACAATGGAAGTGCTTTCATCTGGGATGATGGGTTCTCGAGCTGGTTCATTGCAGTTGGTAATATAATCATCCACCACTTTTTCTTTTGTTTCTTCTTTGGTTTTGGTTTCTGCATTGGGGAATTTTATTTATCATTAAAAGAAAGGACACCATTGCAGATGTATGAAGAGTTGCAGGTGCTTTCACCCCTGGTGGCCACCAGGGAGTTCTGTATTCTGAGATATTGTCGGCAAGTAGAACAGGGTTCGTGGGCTATAGTAAATGTGTCTTACGATTTTGCCCAATTTGTTTCTCAGTGTCCATCTCGTAGGCTTCCTTCTGGGTGCTTGATTCAAGACATGCCTAATGGTTACTGCAAGGTTTCCTTCTCTACTGCACCACTTTAGTTTCTCTTATATGTGTGTGTATGTGCGTGTATAATACTATCTTAGTTCCCAAGTAACGGTTTCATTTGAAATAGGTTACATGGGTAGAACATGTGGAAATTGAAGACAAAACAGCCGTGCATAGGCTTTATAGAGAGCTGATTCATAGTGGGTTAGCATTTGGAGCAGAAAGATGGATGGCCATTATTCAGAGAATGTGTGAGAGGTTTGCTTGTCTAATGGTATCAGGCACGTCTACTCGTGATCTTGGGGGAGGTAATTTTGATTCTTCAATGAATTATTAATATGATTTTCCCAATCCAATATTGAAATGACTTACTTCACGCTTAATTTGACAGTAATTCCATCGCCCGATGGCAAGAGAAGCATGATGAAACTAGCACAGAGGATGGTTAACAACTTCTGCACCAGCATTAGCACATCCAGTAGCCATCGCTGGACAACACTCTCGGGATTCAATGAAGTTGGAGTGCGAGTCAGCGCACACAAGAGTAGTGATCCTGGCCAACCCAGTGGTGTCGTTTTTAGTGCAGCTACTACATTTTGGCTTCCAGTTTCTCCCCAAAATGTTTTCAATTTCTTCAAGGATGAAAGAACTCGACCTCAAGTAAGCACCACAGAACAAGTTTTGGACTTAACTCTGCCTGACAGTTTTTATTAATTAACAGGGTTAACTCTGTTGTAGTGGGATGTTCTCTCGAACGGTAATGCAGTGCAAGAGGTTGCCCACATTGCGAATGGATCACATCCTGGAAACTGCATATCCGTGCTTCGAGTAAGACTTTCTGATACAGATCATCATTTCAATACCTTCTACAAACCATTAATTGAACTAAACTAGTGTAAAAAATTGATTAATCCAGGCGTTCAACACCAGCCAAAACAATATGCTGATACTTCAAGAGAGTTGCATAGACTCTTCAGGCTCACTTGTGGTCTATTGCCCTGTTGATTTACACGCCATAAACATAGCAATGAGCGGGGAGGATCCCTCATACATCCCTCTACTGCCATCAGGGTTTACAATTTCGTCAGACGGGCAGAGCCAGCAGGGCGATGGAGCATCATCAAGTAGCTCAAACGTGCTGGGTAACAGTTCGAGTGGATCGTTAATAACAGTAGCATTTCAGATACTGGTAAGCAGCTTGCCATCTGCAAAACTTAACATGGAGTCTGTAGAAACTGTTAATAACCTTATCGGAACGACTGTCCAGCAAATTAAAAGTGCCTTGAATTGTCCTGCTTCATGATCATCATCATCATTCATCAGACTCAGACAACTGTTTTTCTTTGGTAAGTCTAGTGAGTATAAATATGGAGATCAGAAGGATTCAGAATGGATTTTTGTGGTGGGTAATGAATGTGGGTAGTTGGGAAGTATGAATGCTGGGCTTCAGGCCTCATCAAGCTGCTCTGCTTATTTACTCCATTGCTGCTTCATCTTCTGCCAAACTTCATTTACGATCAACACCAAACTCGATCAAATTTTTCTTCTTTTTTTTTTTTTTTTAAATTTTCTTCACAATTTACCATTTTGAAGAGTGTCAGTATTAAAGAGAGGGAGTCAAGAACGCACCATACGCTCTGCCAACCTACAAAATTTGTGTATGGTTCGGGTATTGACTTCTCTGTTAATGCTCTTTCTTTTGGGCAAAAATTAATTCCTTTCAACTCCCAATTGTCTTATTAATTTAATGTTTATTGCCTTGTTTTGTGTGGTCTGGTGGTTGACTTCATACTTATTTATCTTCAGATTTATTGCATATTATTAATTTCAAGCATACTAATAATTACAATCTTAAAAGTTTGATCACGACATGGGGCTTCTTGATAAAATAATTCCAATTTTTTTTTTTTTTTTTATAAATTTTCATAATTATTGGTTATATATAATTGGGAGTAATCTTATTATTGATTTCTTATATTTAATTTTTTCAACGATGAATTTATGAACCAGCAATTCAATCAATTAACTATTAGTTCAACTGGTATACCAGTCTAATATTTCATAAATAATAATCAAATATTAAAAATTGTAATTTATAATAATTTATATATTTATTAAATAATCTACTCAATAGTACAAAATATAACTTTATAGTTTGAGTTCGAAAGATGATAGCAAATGTGCTTTTCCGTGTTATAGCGATTGATTGAAAGACTTGAAAGCGAACTTTGTAATAGAAAAAATAATTTCTAACCGATATCCAATTCAAACAATTAGTTTAATTGTTTGTTATATTTATTTGATGCGATAATTGTATTATTAAAATTAATTAAGAGTTAAAATAAGACTTCAAAATTGATTTAAAAAAAAAAAATCAAAAAATACAATAGAACTTTTGACTGTTTTATCTAATATTATAAGACTTGACAAGTTCATACTTAAAAGAAAAAGATAGGATTGTAAATTTATTTTTATTTTCCCAAGTAAAGAAATATCTGGCTTCTGTAATAAAAAGATTATTTTACTTGCCTTTTGTTAATCATATGCAATTTTGTTTTATCCATCAATTACAATAAAATTGTAACGGTCCCGAAAATTAAAAGGAAACGTATATATAAAAATTTTAAGTGCGAAAGTAAAATAAAATATTATGATTAATATCATTTACACAATAACCAAAACATACTAAACGTATGAAATAATAAACTAACTAAAGTAAATATTAGAAATGAGTACTATAAGAAAAACTATAAAATCTTTAAGCATCTACTCGCCGTCTTCCTGCGGAACGGGCTCGAGAACCAAGTCCTCATGATCTGAAATGGTTAAGTAAGGAATGAGCTACATTAACCCAATAAAGATGTCACACTATCTCACAGTCACAGAACTAAAAGTTGGTAGAAAACAAAAATGACTAATGAAGCATAATTTATAACAAATTCATTTATCAATAATAAAACCCCTTTACTGTCCACTTACCTCGGTGAGATTCATGAAAATAATTTATGAAAACAATAACATTATAATATTATGAAATCATACGCACTCTGTAACATAACATATATCATACTTTTAATATTTCAACTATCAGGTAACAAATTTCCTCTTTTACCAGCCTACCAGTATCCATGGGGATCCATAGGGGTCCCCGCTATACCTGAACCATTCACCTTAATAACTTAACTCCAGGGTCGTTTTCATACCCCGTCCGGTATGGGTACCAAAATCATAAACCTCAATACCCCGTCCGGTATGAGAGTGAAGCGGGCCGTCCCCATACCCCGTTTGGTATGAGTGCCAAAACATTCAAAGTCTCCATACCCCGTCCGGTATGAGAGACAATATTCCCGGTAGGGTTCCCTATGGACTCAGTCCGTCCACCATCTCCTAGGATATCTAGTGAGGCTGTCGACTTATCCATTTATCAATTCACATACCTTTTCTATTCTTTTCTTAGTTTTCTGTTTCTCACATAATCATGAATATTTAAACCAGTAACGAGCATCCAACAAAGCAGGCATATCATCGGATTCTCAAAATCAAGCCATAATGAAGTAAATAGTGATTCATGCATTCAAAATCATAGAATAAATAAATCAGATACCATAATGCATTTAAAACTGTAAAATAACTAAAACAGCAACTGACCAAAAATATATCAGATCCGGGCTCCATTAACAACCTTAATTAATTATACATATCTATTAATTCATAAAATACTGTTTTATCATTTATTAAGTTTTAATGCCGTGATAAGAAATAGGGTGAGTGATCCTTACTTGATTCGAAGTCTAAAATCGATTTTTCACTGTACCTACGGGCAGTCCCTAGATTCCCTGAATTTTTTTTCGGGAACTGAAACACACTTCTGATATCTACACATGTCCCCAAAAAACTCCAAATCAGACCCAGGGCCTCCTTGGCCAATTTCGGAACTCCGGCACGGCGGCGATCGACCTCGGGTTGGCTATTTTCGGTCGTTTTTGGCTGAATTCAGCCAAACTAGCACTAGTTCCTGCGAAGAAACACACGTAGGGCCCTCGGTGGGCTAAAAAAATACAGAAAACTGAGACTTACCGGCGGCGGAGCTCTCGAGTGCGGCAGCTCTTCCGGTGCAAGTCGCGATTTGGCGTTTTGCTCCGGTCAACCTGTAGAGAAAAGGTCGGTGGTCACAGTGGTGTAAAAATTACATCGAATGGGAATCGAGAAGGGCCGCATCGGAGGCAAAAATTGAGAAAATCTGCGGCGGCTTTTTTCGGCCAATTAGCCAGTGGTTTGGCTCCGATTTGGCCACAGGTGGGTTCAACATCGAAATTCGAGCAAAGGGGAGAAATTTTACCTCGTTTCACGGCCGAAAAGTGCTCCGGTGTGGCGGCGGTCGGTTCCCCTAGCGGCTGGGTTGTCTTCTCCGGCGAGGGCTCTGGCGGCTAGGGTTTGGGGTTGGGTGTGGATGAGACTATTTATAATTTTTCCTTTTAATCTGAGTCGTCCATCATGATTTAATCTGGACCGTTCGATCACAATTAAATTGGGAATGGATCTGGGTCGTTGGTGCATGCGGGAACGGATCTCAGCCGTCCGATCGCGCGCACGCGGATCGCCCATGTGGCTCCGTTCTGCGTGGTCTCCCGCGTCAGCGTCTCTGCCACGCGGCATGTCCTGGTTAGCCGGGACTGCTGACAAGGCTGCTGACGGAGCTGCTGACGTGGCACAATTTTTTTAAATTACGTTTTGACCCCCCAGTTTTCTATTTTCTTTTCAAAAACACCCACAGAATTCGAATTTTCACCCATTTTTTCCAAAATTATTTTCAATTAAATCCTAAAAATAATTTTACCCATTTTTATCATTATTATTATTTTTATTTCTATTTAATTAAATTAAACTAAATTTAAAACCATATAATTATTACATAATAAATCAATTATAATAATTAAAATAAAATAAAATAAAATAATTCCAATAATAATAATAATAGAATTAGGGTGTTACAACTCTCTCCCCTTTAAAGAAATTTAGTCCCCCAAATTTGCCTCTTACTCCTGGTCGAACAAATGGGGATACTGAGCTCTAAAGTCTGATTCTAACTCCCAGGTAGCCTCCATTGGCGTGTGGTTCTGCCACACGACCTTTACAAATGATATTTTTCGGTTACGGAGTATTTTGCTCTTTTGGTCCGTGATACCGACTGGTACTTCCTCATAAGACAAGTCATCTTGGAGTAGAAGCAGTTCATGAGCCAAGACATGAGAGGGGTTCGGGTTGTACTTACGTAACATGGACACACGGAACACATTGTGGACCTTGGAAAGCTGTGGATGTAGTACTAGTCTGTAGGCGGCAGTACCAATCCTGTCTAAGACTTCAAATGGTCAAATAAATTGGGGGTTCAGTTTTCCCCTCATGCCAAACTTACTAATTCCCTTGAAAGGAGTGACCTTAAGGAACACCCGGTCACCTTTCTCAAACGCTAAATCTCTCCTCCGGGTATCCGCATAACTCTTTTGCCTGCTCTGAGTCGTCTGAATGTTCTTTTTGATTTTAACTATTTTAAACGTGGTCTCCTCCACCAACTCCGGGCCGAAAAATTTTCTATCGCCCACTTCTTCCCAACAAATCGGCGATCAGCATGGGCACCCATATAACGCCTTATACGGAGCCATGCCAATGCTCGCTTGGTAGCTGTTGTTGTAGGCAAATTCTACAGGGGTAGATGGTCGTCCAATGGCCCCCAAAGTCAAGGATACAAGCTCGGAGCATATCATCAAGTGTACGGATTGTCCTTTCTGATTGTCCATCAGTCTGAGGATGGAAGGCAGTACTAAGAGACAGCTTTGTTCCCATGGCCTGCTGAAAGCTACTCTAAAACCGAGAAGTGAACCTGAGGTCCCTACCGGATACCACTGTCACTGGAACTCTATGCAATTTGATTATTTTTCGGATATACATTCTTGCCAACTTGTCCAAGGGATCGGTCATCCTGATAGCTAGGAAGTGGGAAGACTTGGTAAGCAGGTCAACAATTACTCAGATAGCGTTATGTCCTGAACATGCCTTGGGTAATCCCGTTACGAAGTCCATGGTGATATGTTCCCACTTTCACTCCGGGATCGGTAAAGGCTGAAGTAACCCGCCTGGGTATTGATGCTCTGCCTTGACCTGCTGACATACCAAGCATTTAGATACAAAGTCAGCTACGTCCCTCTTTATCCCATTCCACCAAAATTGGGGTCGCATGCTTTGGTACATTTTGGTGCTTTCGGGATGCATGACAAACTTCGAGTTATGGGACTCTATCATGATGTCTCTCTTTAACTCACTGTCATCTGGGACACACACCCTGTCCTGGAACTGGAGTAACTCATCGGCAGAGACTCAGAATTCTGAGCTCACTCCCTGTTCTGCATCAATCTTGCGAGCTACTAGGGCAGGGTCGACTGACTGAGCTTCTATTATTCTCTATATTATCTCGGGCTGGACTATCAGACGGCCCAAACATGCAATTCTCTTCAGGTTCTGAAGTCGAACCTGTTGTGTGGCCCCAATTTACCTGCGTTCTGAAACCATCAAATGGGCTAAGATACTTGCACTTTTCCTGCTGAGAGCATCTACCACCACGTTACCCTTACTCGGATGGTACAAGATATCATAATCATTGTCTTTAAGGAGTTCCATCCACCTTCTCTGACGTATGTTGAGATCATTTTGAGTGAATA